TATTATCCTTCCTAAAATATTATTATATATGTATTATTAATAACAAAAACATTATTCAAAAGTGTTCATTCATATATAATTATTATTATAAAAATATTATAAAATATGTATTTATATTATGATCAAAAACATTTATATATATTTATTTGTATATTATCCTTCCTTTTATATTATTATATATGTATTATTCATAACAAAAACATCATTAAAAAGTGTTCATTCATATATAATTATTTTTATATAAAAATTATAAAATATGTATTTATATTATGATAAAAAAAACCTGTCAATATTTAATTGCATATTATCCTTACTATAATATTAATATATATGTATTCTTATTATTAAAAACATTATTAAAAAGTGTTCATTCATATATAATTATAATTATAAAAATATTATAAAATATGTATTTATATTATGATCAAAAACATTTTTATATATTTATTTGTATATTATCCTTCCTATAATATTATTATATATGTAATATTAATAACAAAAACATCATTAAAAAGTGTTCATTCATATATAATTATTTTTATATAAAAATTATAAAATATGTATTTATATTATGATCAAAAAAACCTGTCAATATTTATTTGCATATTATTGTTTCTTTAATATTATTATATTTGTATTATTAATTACAAAAACATTACTAAAAAGTGTCAAATCAAATCAAATCAAATCAAAATGTCTTTATTTCGTAAAATTAATCATTTTTACATTTTTACAAAATACAGTATCAGATTACCATAAGCATATAACTGGAAATATAAACTAAATATAAATTAAATATAACTGAGCAACTTGAACTAAACGAAATTAATCCCACATGGGAGAACCCGTGCGTGGGAGTGAGTCATTCTGTACTTTAATATGAAAGAGAAAAAAAAAATTTTTTATACGTAATAAGAAACAAAACAAAATACTTCTATCCACTGGCATGATTCCAAAGCGCTAGCGGAATTTTGGCAAATCACATTGGAACATAGATAAAATGATATCAGGTTGACTCGTTGACTTTCCCCTACCATTAACCCCCCAAAACGCCCCCCTCCCCCCCCCAACACACACACACACACTCACACAGACACGCGTGCCAACACAAACACACGCTGTATCAGCTGTATCACCTATTGTCTGTATATGGAAACTAATAATCTATTAGCTCCATCCCTCCCAATGAGTTTTAGCCAGTGAACAATGTGTTTTTTGTACGTTGTAATTGAGTGTCTGTCATAGTCTCGTAAGTCTAGTGGAAGGTTAGAGTAAATGATGTGTGCAACGTAATAGCAATTTGTTGTAGAAAATGTCTTTGTAAGTCTTGGTAAGCGTATGCCTTGGCCTAGTGCATGTCGAGTATTATGGTCATGTTGTGGACGATCAAAGAGTGACTCATGATGTTTGTAAATAAACATCGAAACTGTTCTGATGTATATTTGCGTTAAATCAAGTACATTCATTTCGGTGAACAGAGCATCCGACGAGTATTGCCTACCCTTGCCCAGTGCCGCTTTTATGATTGCCTTTTGTGTTACAACAAGAGGTTGTAGAACATTGCTGTAAGCACAGCCCCAGGCAATTATCCCCCCCTCAAGCAGTGACTGTACATAAGCAAAATATGCATTTTTAATTTCATCTATTTCAAGAAAATGGTGAAGTTGGCGAAAAGCAAAAATTAGTTTTCTTAGCTTTTTGTTTAAGTATGACACGTGATCTGCCCATGACAATTTTGAATCAAACACAACTCCAAGATATTTATAATTTTGAACTCGATTTATTACCGGGCAGGCACAATTGTTTCCGATTTCAAGACCACATGAATGAATTTTGATTTCGTTGCGAAGTGTGTCCCCTCGAGCTCTTAAGGAGATTGGAATAAATTTTGTTTTAATGACATTGAGCGTTAACACATTCTGATCAAACCATTTTTTAATTTTTGACACGCCTCTTTCGGCATTGGCAAAAGCTGAGTCCCAAGTTTCGCCTTGGAATAAAACTAAGGTGTCGTCAGCAAAAAGGTAAAAATCACCTTCAATATTTAATTTCACAAGATTGTTAATGTAAATTAAGAATTGTAAAGGCCCTAACGTGCTACCTTGGACCACCCCAAAGTCTACATTACCAAGATTTCCATTGATTCCATTAATATTTACAAACTGCTTTCCATTATCAAAATAAGATCGGAACCATTGCAGAGCTACACCTTGAACACCTATCAGTTCTAATTTTTTTAAAAGGAGCGATCTATCAACTGAGTCGAAAGCCTTGGCCAAGTCAAAAAATACCAGAACAACACGCCTACCTTTACTGATGGCCAAATTTATATCTTTATTAACTTCGAACAATGCATCTGTGATGTTTTTTGATTTTCTAAAACCAAACTGGCGGTGAGTTAAAATATCGTGCTGGTTAAGGTAATGAAAAACTTGATCTTTGATAATTTTTTCCAAAATCTTAGTGAACACACTTAGCAAAGAAATTGGCCTAAAATTTGAGATATTGGTGACGTCACCAGACTTGAAGAGGGGAATTACCTTGGCAATTTTGTAGGCATTAGGGAATATACCATTTTGGATACTTGTGTTAGTTATATGTAGCAGTGGTTGTTTAAGTGTCTCCCAGTTGTCTTTGAGTAGTTCAGCTGATACACAATCATACCCTGGAGCTGAGCCACCTCGCAGTCTAGTGACGTAGGTGTAGAGTTCCTGTTCAGTTACAGTGTGAAGTGTGAGTATGGAGTCAACAGCGTGGTCAGTGTCATCGACCACAGGCAAACCGCCCGAATCTATACTTGCTGCCAAGTTGGGACCAACGTTGGCGAAGTACTCATTAAATTCGTCGGCTACCTGTAATCTACAGTCGTTGTCAACATTCAGTCTGTTTCCTGAAAATTGTGTAAGCGGGAAAATGTCCTTTCTATTACCTCTACCAGCTAATTCGTTTAATGTACTCCAGAACGTTTTTGGATTGTTTTTAGAATTTGAAAGTTTTTCCCTAAAATAATTGTATTTAGCTAGTTTTGTATCTTGATTTAACTCATTTTTGATTCTTTGAAATTTTGAAAGCAATTCCATATTAAAAGGTTGTCTCCTAACTAACTTGCTCAATTTGTCCCTATCCCTTATTTTTCGTACCAAGTCATGGGTGATCCATGGTTTGAGTGGCCTCAGCCTCGGTTTGAGAACAGGTCTTTGTTTGGTGGATTTATTTACACAATCTTTAATTTTAACAAAAAGAATGTCTGTAGATGTGTTAACGTCACTCGTTTGTGAGACGTCTGACCAATCACACTCTTTAATGTTTAAGCTCAAAGATGTTTTGTCAATGTAAGTGTTTGTGTTGTGTGACGTGTCCTTAGTGTAAGGGTTGTGACTTATTTGTAGGCAGATACTGTAGTGATCAGTTATGTCCGTCCTCACCACAGCAGTTTGTAAGGCAGTGTAATCATTGTGGTTTACAAATATGTGGTCAATATTTGTTTGACTATTTCCTACTACTCTAGTAGGTGTATTTATGCCACATATAAAACCGTGTTCGAAAAAAACGTCCAAGTAGCGTTCAGTTTTGTAGTCAGTTTCTATTAAGTTAGCGTTAGTGTCACCCATGAAGACGTATGTGTTGCAGTCATTTTTGTTCTCATAGTAATGTCTAAGAGCGTTAGTAAAGTTGTCTAAGTCACTGTCATGTGTACGGTACACAGTCAGAACGTTACATCTAGTTCCTTGATGGACAAAGTCCAAGGCCAGTCCGTGCACATCGCCCAGCTCCAGTTCCTTGCATTCACACACATTCACTCTCTCACTCACATACATCATTACCCCATCATTTTTATTTTTTCCCCGAGTCGTACAATACAATTTATACCCCTCTATGTCCAACCCCGTCCCCCCATCCCTACCCAGCCATGTCTCCCCAAGCGCTATGAAATCAAACCTTACATCGATTGACTGTAACATTAATAGAAGTGTATCGACATTTTTATTGTAACTACGAATGTTCATGTAGAAAAAATTGTATGAGCAACTTTTAAAAACAGAGCTTATGTCCTTAAAACTATCAACTATTGTACAGTCTATCTGCCTATACTGATCAAGAAACAAATTGGAATCCTCCATGTTCCCTAAAAAATGTAAACAAAATGATTTTTAGCTATTTCAAGATTGAATCAAAACAAAAACCAGTCGCCGCTGAAAGGCCCCACCCAGTCCCTCGTCCACTAATGTAAGCATATCGATTACAAATTTAAGTTATCTGTCAGCTTCATTACACACACTTATCTTTCATGACATGAAAAAATTTAAATGTTAATTAACTACTTGGAAAATTAATTTTCTTGGCCTTTCTGTATAAGTATGTCTTATTTTATTACATCACATTTATTCTAAAGCAATATTTTATATTTAATATTAATAGTCAAACAAATGAAGTGGTAAATATGGTGATATAATATGAATAGATAACGCAATAGATGAGATTTTTTTTTATTTTTTTACTGTATTTTGCATGTCTGTAAAATTAGATTAACTCTTAAAATAAATAGATAGAAATTCATTTTTCTTTTAAAATATAAACCAAATATAACTTTAAGTGTAAATGGCTTAGTAATATAATTAATTTATGTTGCATGCCCTTGCAAAAATACATTGATCCATTCTCCATACCTAAAGTAATTGAGATAAGAAACATTCAAATATACGTTGTGAAATTGAGTAAGTTCAAGTAGGTACTTCAAAGCTAAACACTTAAATACAAAAATATTTCTTTCATGCCCTAGCTTATATTTTAAATTAAATAATAAATAAATAAATTATCAGGCAATCATTTAAAACTTCGATGTTAAAACTTAAGTTTGAAAAATAAATAATAATATAAATAAATAGCAAGAAAATATATAACTATGTTTATCAAGGTGCGTGCAAAACCTAAATAAAGTAAATACTATTGTTAGTGTGACTGATATTATACCTTAACATATTTACAGCGCGATATTGTTTTTACACATCCTGGCCACTGCGATCTTCACACCTGTCCGTTGTTTCGGCTGTTTCTTCACCATTGTCCTCGTCGTTGGTCTGCTTCTGCTGAACCGCCGCCCCCGCTGCCGCCTCCACGTCCTTGACGCTCCTCACTCGCTTCGGTCTCTCGTTAGGTGTCTTCCTCACAAGTATTTTACCTTCCTTCACCCATGCAAATGCTAAACGTTTCTCTTTGACTAATGTCTTGGCGTGGTTTAATGTTGCCTTACTGTGAGCTGACAGGTGTTCGTTTATGAAGACAGGTGAGTTGGGGAAGCTTCGGTGGACCATGAAGGCTGTCAGGTTCTCTGGAAGATCTTTGGCTGAGCTGATCCATGCATGCTTGGCAGTCCGTCTGATGAAGCGCACGATGATGTTGGGGAAGCGCTGGCGACTCGAAGGTACTCGGTGCGCGATAGAGATGTCATCACGCCTCCAGGGCGTCTTTATAGCGTTGGCGACTGCTTGCAGCACTACGTAGACATCCTCGTCCTTAGTCAGGGGGACTCCGACGATCTCTAGATTGTCTATTCTGCTGTATTGTTGCAGTTCCTGAAGGTCTTCCGTCAAAGTGCCGAACTGCTTGGACAGGTCATCACACCGTGATTTGAGCACGCCATACTCCTCTCTTAACAGGAGTTCATTCATATATAATTATTATTATAAAAAGATTTAAAATATGTATTTATATTATGATAAAAAAACCTGTCAATATTTAATTGCATATTATCCTTCCTATAATATTAATATATATGTATTATTATTATTAAAAACATTATTAAAAAGTGTTCATTCATATATAATTATAATTATAAAAAATATTATAAAATATGTATTTATATTATGATCAAAAACATTTATATATATTTATTTGTATATTATCCTTCCTATAATATTATTATATATGTATTATTAATAACAAAAACATTATTAAAAAGTGTTCATTCATATATAATTATTATTATAAAAATATTATAAAATATGTATTTATATTATGATCAAAAACATTTATATATATTTATTTGTATATTATCCTTCCTATAATATTATTATATATGTATTATTAATAACAAAAACATTATTAAAAAGTGTTCATTCATATATTATTATTATTATAAAAATATTATAAAATATGTATTTATATTATGATCAAAAACATTTATATATATTTATTTGTATATTATCCTTTCTATAATATTATTATATATGTATTATTCATAACAAAAACATTATTAAAAAGTGTTCATTCATATATAATTATAATTATAAAAAAACTTTAAACTATGTATTTATATTATGATCAAAAAACCTGTCAATATTTATTTGCATATTATCGTTTCTATAATATTATTATATTTGTATTATTAATTACAAAAACATTACTAAAAAGTGTTCATTCATATATAATTATTATTATAAAAAAACTTTAAACTATGTATTTATATTATGTTCAAAAAAATTTATATTATGATAAAAAAAACTGTGAATATTTATTTGCATATTATCCTTCCTATAATATTATTATATATGTATTATTAATTACAAAAACATCATTAAAAAGTGTTCATTCATATATAATTATTATTATAAAAATATTATAAAATATGTATTTATATTATGATCAAAAACATTTATATATATTTATTTGTATATTATCCTTCCTATAATATTATTATATATGTATTATTAATAACAAAAACATCATTAAAAAGTGTTCATTCATATATAATTATTTTTATATAAAAATTATAAAATATGTATTTATATTATGATAAAAAAAACCTGTCAATATTTAATTGCATATTATCCTTACTATAATATTAATATATATGTATTATTATTATTAAAAACATTATTAAAAAGTGTTCATTCATATATAATTATAATTATAAAAATATTATAAAATATGTATTTATATTATGATCAAAAACATTTTTATATATTTATTTGTATATTATCCTTCCTATAATATTATTATATATGTATTATTCATAACAAGAACATTATTAAAAAGTGTTCATTCATATATAATTATAATTATAAAAAAACTTTAAACTATGTATTTATATTATGATCAAAAAAACCTGTCAATATTTATTTTCATATTATCGTTTCTATAATATTATTATATTTGTATTATTAATTACAAAAACATTACTAAAAAGTGTTCATTCATATATAATTATTATTATAAAAAAACTTTAAACTATGTATTTATATTATGATCAAAAAAACCTGTCAATATTTATTTGCATATTATCGTTTCTATAATATTATTATATTTGTATTATTAATTACAAAAACATTACTAAAAAGTGTTCATTCATATATTATTATTATTATAAAAAACTTTAAAATATGTATTTATATTATGATAAAAAAACCTGTGAATATTTATTTGCATATTATCCTTCCTATAATATTATTATATATGTATTATTAATAACAAAAACATTATTAAAAAGTGTTCATTCATATATAATTATTATTATAAAAATATTATAAAATATGTATTTATATTATGATCAAAAACATTTATATATATTTATTTGTATATTATCCTTCCTATAATATTATTATATATGTATTATTCATAACAAAAACATTATTAAAAAGTGTTCATTCATATATTATTATTATTTAAAAATATTATAAAATATGTATTTATATTATGATCAAAAACATTTATATATATTTATTTGTATATTATCCTTCCTATAATATTATTATATATGTATTATTCATAACAAAAACATTATTAAAAAGTGTTCATTCATATATAATTATAATTATAAAAAAACTTTAAACTATGTATTTATATTATGATCAAAAAAACCTGTCAATATTTATTTGCATATTATCGTTTCTATAATATTATTATATTTGTATTATTAATTACAAAAACATTACTAAAAAGTGTTCATTCATATATAATTATTATTATAAAAAAACTTTAAACTATGTATTTATATTATGATCAAAAAAACCTGTCAATATTTTTTTGCATATTATCGTTTCTATAATATTATTATATGTGTATTATTAATTACAAAAACATTACTAAAAAGTGTTCATTCATATATTATTATTATTATAAAAATCTTTAAAATATGTATTTATATTATGATCAAAAAAACCTGTGAATATTTATTTGCATATTATCCTTCCTATAATATTATTATATATGTATTATTAATAACAAAAACATTATTCAAAAGTGTTCATTCATATATAATTATTATTATAAAAATATTATAAAATATGTATTTATATTATGATCAAAAACATTTATATATATTTATTTGTATATTATCCTTCCTATAATATTATTATATATGTATTATTAATAACAAAAACATCATTAAAAAGTGTTCATTCATATATAATTATTTTTATATAAAAATTATAAAATATGTATTTATATTATGATAAAAAAAACCTGTCAATATTTAATTGCATATTATCCTTACTATAATATTATTATATATGTATTATTCATAACAAAAACATTATTAAAAAGTGTTTATTCATATATAATTATAATTATAAAAAAACTTTAAACTATGTATTTATATTATGATCAAAAAAACCTGTGAATATTTATTTGCATATTATCCTTCCTATAATATTATTATATATGTATTATTAATAACAAAAACATTATTAAAAAGTGTTCATTCATATATAATTATTATTATAAAAATATTATAAAATATGTATTTATATTATGATCAAAAACATTTATATATATTTATTTGTATATTATCCTTCCTATAATATTATTATATATGTATTATTCATAACAAAAACATTATTAAAAAGTGTTCATTCATATATAATTATAATTATAAAAAAACTTTAAACTATGTATTTATATTATGATCAAAAAAACCTGTCAATATTTATTTGCATATTATCGTTTCTATAATATTATTATATTTGTATTATTAATTACAAAAACATTACTAAAAAGTGTTTATTCATATATAATTATTATTATAAAAAAACTTTAAACTATGTATTTATATTATGATCAAAAAAACCTTTCAATATTTATTTCCATATTATCGTTTCTATAATATTATTATATTTGGATTATTAATTACAAAAACATTACTAAAAAGTGTTCATTCATATATTATTATTATTATAAAAAACTTTAAAATATGTATTTATATTATGATAAAAAAACCTGTGAATATTTATTTGCATATTATTCTTCCTATAATATTATTATATATGTATTATTAATAACAAAAACATTATTAAAAAGTGTTCATTCATATATAATTATTATTATAAAAATATTATAAAATATGTATTTATATTATGATCAAAAACATTTATATATATTTATTTGTATATTATCCTTCCTATAATATTATTATATATATATTATTAATAACAAAAACATTATTCAAAAGTGTTCATTCATATATAATTATTATTATAAAAATATTATAAAATATGTATTTATATTATGATCAAAAACATTTATATATATTTATTTGTATATTATCCTTCCTATAATATTGTTATATATGTATTATTAATAACAAAAACATCATTAAAAAGTGTTCATTCATATATAATTATTTTTATATAAAAATTATAAAATATGTATTTATATTATTATAAAAAAACCTGTCAATATTTAATTGCTTATTATCCTTACTATAATATTAATATATATGTATTATTATTATTAAAAAGTGTTCATTCATATATAATTATAATTATAAAAATATTATAAAATATGTATTTATATTATGATCAAAAACATTTTTATATATTTATTGTATATTATCCTTCCTATAATATTATTATATATGTAATATTCATAACAAAAACATTATTAAAAAGTGTTCATTCATATATAATTATTATTATAAAAATATTATAAAATATGTATTTATATTATGATCAAAAACATTTATATATATTTATTTGTATATTATCCTTCCTATAATATTATTATATATGTATTATTCATAACTAAAACATTATTAAAAAGTGTTCATTCATATATTATTATTATTATAAAAATATTATAAAATATGTATTTATATTATGATCAAAAACATTTATATATATTTATTTGTATATTATCCTTCCTATAATATTATTATATATATATTATTAATAACAAAAACATTATTCAAAAGTATTCATTCATATAAAATTATTATTATAAAAATATTAAAAATATGTATTTATATTATGATCAAAAACATTTATATATATTTATTTGTATATTATCCTTCCTATAATATTATTATATATGTATTATTAATTACAAAAACATCATTAAAAAGTGTTCATTCATATATAATTATTTTTATATAAAAATTTTAAAATATGTATTTATATTATGATAAAAAAAACCTGTCAATATTTAATTGCATATTATCCTTACTATAATATTAATATATATGTATTATTATTATTAAAAACATTATTAAAAAGTGTTCATTCATATATAATTATAATTATAAAAATATTATAAAATATGTATTTATATTATGATCAAAAACATTTATATATATTTATTTGTATATTATCCTTCCTATAATATTATTATATATGTATTATTAATAACAAAAACATTATTAAAAAGTGTTCATTCATATATAATTATTATTATAAAA